AGAGAGAGAGAGAGATGAAAAAGGACTCATCGCAAGAAAACCGAAGCAAAGATAGTATACAACGTGAGGAATTTGAGGAACGCTCGAGGGTGGCTTAAGAAATGATCGTGAACACGGGACCGACGTACTCCCAAGATTTATCGTTTCTTTATTCGTTTTTACCCTCGAAGGGATGCCTAACGCGGAAAAGCACATCCGATCGGTCGAGCGATCGAGGAACAATCAAAAGGCTCGCGGTCAGTGCGTGAATACCGGGATCGCTAGCGGGAAATCCCGAGATCTTTCCCCGCTCGAATCGAGAAAGCGGCTTCCTCCGCGTTGATGGTCCGTCGGGAATTCTACCAGCAGGAAGTGCGGTGAGTACAGAGTGTGGAGTATCCCTGTCACGAATCGAAGTCTGAAGAAACACCGATCATTAATTAATACCATCGATTCGATGTTAGAGAACTGTGCATGAAAAGAATGATTTTGCTGAAGTTTCTAAAAGTATTATTAAAAATAATTTTAATTGAATCATCAAAATAATTACATTCTAAATTTCTTGCAGTGAAATCTCACGCCAAGGGAGTGAAAATGCAATCTCCCTTGAAAAAAATGAAAATATTTCACTTCTTGAAAAAAAAGGTAACAAGTAGTCCTTTTAGAGTGAAATCTTATTTTTTGAAGTGAGATTTTATTCTTTTGAAGTGAAAATTCACTCTGAAAAGAGTGAAAATTGTCACTCTTTTTCAAGAAGTGAAATATTTTCATTTTTTTTTCAAGGATGACTGTATTTTCACTTGTGCTTGGAGTGAGATTTCACTGTAAGAAATTTAGAGTGTATGTAGAACATATACATCTTTAAGCATTGTCAGAATTTATTTAGAGGAGAGCAAAGTTGAGACTTTTGAAGGAGAGAGAGAGAATCGAACGATATAAACTTATTTTGTTTTATATTATTACTTTTAATTAATTACTGGCAGATAAATCTTTTATTTAAAAAACTGTATTCACAACTGCATGTAAAAAAATGATGACCAAAGTTAAGGAAATCTTTTTTTTAATATATAATTTAATATATAATTATTTTAATAGGCCAACAAAATTATTTTCAGATCTGTACATAACTAAATTTTTAGATACTTCAGTAAAATCGTTCTTTTCCCTGTAGATTCAAATAACTAATCTGCTTGTCAACAAGAAGAGAACAAAATCTAATCGATTGCAAAAATGTAGAGAAAATTCGCGCGAGTGAGAACGAGTGAAGGATGGAAAACTCTCCGCTTCGAGATAGGTGCTCGGCTCGTGGTAGGAATTTGATTGATGTAACGGGTGAGGCGAATCGACGAAGATCCTAGGATTTCCCTAAGAGAGACTAGGACTGTCGAGAGCAGCGTGAAACGGCGCGCAATTAAGGCAGTTAAGATGCACCAGCGTGTGCCTTGGCCGTTGCTGCTCCTGACCTTGTCGCTGCAGCGTTTAACGAGCTTGTCGACGGTACAGTCGAGAATGCACAACGAGGCGGTACTGATACCCGGCGACATCGTACTGGGCGGATTATTCCCGGTGCACGAGAAGGGTGGTGGTCCAACCGCGTGTGGGCCCAACATCTATCACCGGGGCGTGCAGCGGCTCGAGGCGATGTTGTTCGCCGTCGATCAGATCAATCAAGAGGACAACATACTACCGGGTATCATACTGGGCGTGCACATCCTCGACACGTGCGGCCGCGACACGTACGCGCTCAATCAGAGCTTGCACTTCGTCCGGGCGTCCCTGTCCAACATCGACATCAGCGTGCTGGAGTGCGCGGACAAGTCGACACCCAGAGTAAAGAGGACTGCAAGCGCGGGACCCATCTTCGGGGTGATAGGTGGCTCCTACAGCTCGGTGTCACTGCAGGTGGCGAACTTGCTGCGACTCTTTCATATCCCCCAGATATCGCCGGCGTCCACGGCTAAGGCACTCAGCGATAAGACCAGGTAAGAACCATGGCACATAAAAAAACTTAAGCACATACAAAAACGTATTCTGAAAATTTTTCTTATAATTTTTATACGAATTGAAACATTTTTTAGAAATACTCAGAAATATTCGGAAAGTTTTACATCTTTTTTCTCAGAATTTTTCATACAATAATTCTGAAATTTTTCATCCCATAATTTTTAAAAAGTATTTTTAAAAAGTATTTTAAAATTTTTTAGATTTTATAACATTTCATCAGAAATTATACTTACAAAAAATTTTAAAAATCTTACGATATTTCATAACTAATACATATGAAAAATTCATCAGAATCCAATGTTACGATTTCCTTACTTACTGTTTACGTCTTATACTGCCTTACGTTTTTGTATGTGGGTTTTAAGTCATGGGTTTTAAGCAGTAAGTGAATTGACTATTCACAATAAAGTCCAATCCAACATGGTGATTTCCTTACTGCTTACGTCTTGCTACTTTAAATTTTTTGTGTGCCATGGCATTCTTACAGAATGGAAGAACAAAACGTTTGTGCATTAAGAATAATTATTAAATTTTGTAATATTAATTTATTGCTACAAAAGTTGACTCTTTGTCGAGTAAAATTGAAAAGTTATAATTTAAAAAAATAAAGTTAGAGAGGTCATGTATAGAAGGACCTTTCCCTCGTTGGAAGTAACTTTTTTGTATTTTTTTGAACAGCCAAAAAAGTGATCTTATTCGAAGAATTTGATAAAAAAAAAAAGCAAAATGACAAAGAGAGGAATGACGAAACAAATTTTGCGCCACTCTAATAGTAATTGTAAATTCTTTAAATTTTAATTAAAAGCGCATTTTTTATAAAGCGCATTAATTATAAAGTATTCCGATAGCTCGTTATCGAATTTATTCAAGATATATTTCATGAATCTCTGTTTCACAATTCCGTATATTTAAGTAACCAATCAATCTATTATTCTTCACAATTTACAGATTCCAAGTAAATATTGATTTTTTTCATGCAAAATTCATAATCTCTTTTTTCTAAATTTAAATTTGATCAATTATTGACTCAGACAATATTATTGATTCGCCCGATAAGGCCTCAATTGTGATTAATTTGAGCATTCCGACATTCCCGTCAGACTTGTTAGTTTGACATCGTTTGTCGACCTCGCGTGTAATTGTCATTAGAAGACTTCCGATTACTGTTCAAACACTCATTATGAGTGACTTTGATGAGTACGTATCTGCTAGAAACGACCGTTTAAATGTAACTCAAGGCTGCATGGTATCTAGAAGATATTAATTTCCATTAGTAATCACCATTAATCTTCCAAATGAATGAGAGATGAATTGTTAATAATCCATTGATTATAATAGGTTCCTATTCTCACATTTAACAATATTGTGGCTTTTTCTACAATAAATTGTAATCTTATAGTTTTTTTTCTTGTAATAGAAAAAATATATTATATGCATACATATCCATAATATACAAATAATATAATATGTACATAATATAAAAATTATATATAAATTAAATTAT